AATTATAAAAACTAAAAGAACATGTTATAACTCACTGTATGAGATTCAATTGAATTTGCTTACTATTTAAACATGCAACGATAATAAACAAAATATCCTTAACAACATGTTAAAATTTCTTTATGAAAATTCTAGAAATAAATTCAAGACTTTCATGCCTTTTTTTTTTTTTTTAAATAATCCAAATAAAAGTACGAGAATTTCTAGATTTTATACAAAATCAGATTAAATATTTTGCTCTTTAAGGTGTGTGTCAAAAATAATAGTTAATGACACACAACAAGTCTTCTAAATAAAATAGATTTAGAATACAAGAAAATTCTAAATAAATGTAAATACCATTAGCACAAATCACAATGGACTCTACTATTGCAACAGTGGTTCCTTTTTCTTTAATAGAGATATTCAAAAGTTATGCAATATAAATTACTCATTCTGATTCTACAATGATTCTGAATTGTTAAATTTTATGGTGTGAATTAGCTTCAGTATACAACTGTACGCATCAAAACATTCAGTAAATTGTTAAATAAAACGTTCTACACTGTAAGATGCGGAAGTTTGGTATTATGTAGATGAAACAAATACTAAACAACATAACAGAAGGTTGGCTCTGATACCAATTGTGAGAATTAAAATAATTTTAATTCAGAAAGAAAAATACCTCCTTCCATGATGTTCAAGCCTTTGAATCTTTATTCTTGAATGATCAAACCTTAAATGTATAAAAAACCCACTTACAGAACACTTTTACAGAACCATATGGGAAAAGTAAAAGGGATAGAGTTTCAAGCCTATTCTATTCACAAAACAACGTCTGTGTTTGATGGCTATCACAGACATATATATAGATAGGCTTGGACCTATATCCAAGTGTAACTCCTTATAACTCCCAACCATCAAGGAAGTTGTAAAGTCTCATGAAACCACCATATGGGATAGTGAAGAGACATGAGTTACCCATTAGTCATTAAATCAATTAAATATATATAATATAAATAAATAAATAAATAAAACATGTGGCATATGGACCACTTTATGGATATTCTTACATCCATGTCATCCTTGCCATGTTATCCTTATGCCTTGTCAGCATTCTGTCAACAGAAAATTTCTAAATTTTAGCACCAACGTTAGTATGCTTGTCAACAGAAATAATAATAATAATAATAATAAACGTTAGTATGCTTGTCGACAGAAATAATAATAATAATAATAATAATAATAATAAATAAAAAAAAACGTGGTTAAGGTTATTCTTTAAAAATAGTTTAAGATTTCAATTAACATATCATAATCAAACTTTGCTATAATTAATAGGTCACAATTGAAAGAAAAATAAAATATGGTGTAAACACACATTAAATTTACTAAATTGATAGTTTTTACACTAAAAAATTATTTTAAACTAAAATTTGTCTTCTCTCCAAATCGCTTAATCCCTCAAGGGAAATGATTGTGTCAATATATTTCTTGGATATATAAACTCACTTTGCAAGAACTATTGAATGCATTTTTAATCCCAATTAGTTACACCCTAATTTATGGCAGCATTTTTGTCACACAATGAATTAAAATAGCACCCTTTTTTTGTTCAAAAAGTTATAATGCATTCACTCATAAATGATGTCCGATCTCTTGAAAAAATAGCCCTCACAAATGGAACCCAAGAAGCCTCTACATCTAGAATTCCTTTTTGGCCCGTGTTCATTTTATTTATTTCTTCTTTTTTATCTATTTCTTTTTTTGCATTGTTGTAACACTATTTCATTAGTGTTTAATGGGATTTAAGTCATGTAAATAATTTCATTAAATATGATGATGAAACTGCTTATATTTTGCTTTATAAAAATTTTATTTTAACAGGAGACTTGTACTGAGTCTCTCATTTCAATTTTGAAACTCAAAAGTAGATCAACATAGTATCTGCCTAAATATATTATAGAATCATAATAATTACCCATTGAACATAACAACGAATCTGTAAAAGCCACACATTTTTTCTTTGGAGATTACCTACTACACAAACTGGAGTGATATGATCTGTGCTAGATTGAGCCTATACAATTCACATTTTCAACCATTATTGCATCACACCAAAGTAACATCTCACAAAGTCAAATTCTAGGACCATTCATCCATTTCCCTTTTTATTCTGCTAATACAACCTTACTATTAGTGATGTTACCACATCCCATTAAAAGCTGTTGAAATTTCTTGTTGCTCAACTTTTGCAATAGTTGACCTTGAATGCAATTTTGTATATAGATATAGAAAATTATTGAATTTTCAGTACGCATCAATCATAAAATAACAAGTAATTAAATAAATGATTTGTTAGTAGAGTCGTAAAATAATTCAAGTCTTTTCATGAATAATATGAAACTCTATCGGTCCGAACGCACTTGTTAACTTCTTGAGACAATTGAACGCTTATTTCATAAGCTATCATTATTGTGTTGGATTTGTAAAAATACAGTTTGACTTTTGTCAAGAAAAAATGAAAAATGCTAGGGTCCCAAGATGTTTTATTAATATTTTTTTATCAAATGTTTCATATGGGTATAAAACTCACACTATGTGAGTCTTACACTTATGTGAGATATTTAGTAAAAATATTAGTAAAATATTTAGAATCTCTAGCATTAGTCGGCAAAAATATATGTATATATTAAAAAAAATAGAGACTTACGTGTAAATCCTAATGGGTAGACTTATTATTCAATAGGTCCTGTGAGAATTAATGGAGTTTTTCATCAACCACTATTAAAAAAACGTCACTAATTTTTAATTTTTAGCGACAGCTTGAAAATTTTGTCAAAATATGTCACTAATTATAAATTTTAGGGATAGTTTAAAAAAATCTTCAAAAAAACAGTTACTAATTTTCAACTTTCAACGATAGTTTGAAAAAATCATTATTGAAAAACGTCACTAATTGTAAGTTTAGCAACAATTTATAAAAATCGTGACACAAATAAAATTATTAATTGTCAATTTTTAGCAACACATGCAAAAAAGATCACAAAAAATTATATTTAACAACGATTTTACAAAAACTTAGTTTCAAAAGAACTTGATAGGAATTAAATATAACTATTAGGATCTATTGATTGTTTATCCTAAAACAAAGTATATTTATTTGGGAAGTGATTTTATGCTTTTACATCTTTTTGTGTTATTTGAAAAAACAAAGTATATTTAGGGGTTGTTTGGAATGACCTAAATAAGTGCACTTTTTATCTTTTTACAAAAAAATGTGCAAAAAAGTAGAGAGGTGATGTGATAAAAAAAAGATAAAAAGATGAATTATTTTGGGTATGCCAAACTTGACCTTATTTGGGAAGTGATTTTATTCTTTTACATATTTTTGTGTTATTCGAAAGTACAAGGCATCTAAATATGGTTATCAATTTTTTTATCCAGCTTTATTTGAATTATTAACCTTTTCTCATGATTTTTTTTTTTTTAAAAGTATGATATTCAAATTGACATTGAGCCTTGAAATGGATTTGGCATATCATGAAAGCTACAAGATCTTTAAGGAACAATGAGGTGTTGGTACTCAATGCAAAAAATAAAAATAAAAATAAAAATTTATGAATAAATTACAATTCAGTTGAAAGACCCCCCCCCCAAAAAATCAATAATAAAATTTATCAATTTTAATAATTAAAGTGATTAATTTTTTTATATTTTTTATTTTATAATTTTAAATTTTATAATTTCTTTAATCTTTTAATTGATTTACAAATTTTTTAAAATTTATTCCTGACATCTAGAGGCTCGCGCCAATAGATTCAATAGTGATTGGTAGTTCAAAAGACCCTTTCCTAAATCCCCCCTGAAATCAAAACGACATCGTTTTCGTCGTTTTGATTTTTTTTATTTTCAAAAGAATTATTTATTTTTTTTCAGAAGAAGAAAATCAGGAGAAGGAAGAAAAAGAAAAGAATGAAGAAGAATGAGGAAGAAGGAGGACTGGAGGGGGCCAACAAAATCGGGCTGGAGGCGGAGGCGTCAAGTAAGCGAATACTCTTCTATAGAGTTGATTTTCCTGCATGAGTTCGTTGAATTGGGGAACTTTGTAGAACTGGTAAACATGAGACCTATCTTCGATCAATCGCCACCATTTTTTGAGAGTGTAGAGTATAGATGTTTTGTGTAGAAATCGGAGAAGTAGATAGGAGACAGTGATGATCAAACCCAATAGTAGAATTGGGTTCGAAGAAAGGAACATCTTTTTGGGGGGTTTGAAAAGAGGCAAAGGCGGAGGCGACGGCGGGGCTGCGACGGCGGGCGACAATTGGGCAGAGGCGACGGCGAGCGGAGCTCCTCCTCTTCCCCTCTCTTCTCTTTCTCTCTCTCTCTCTCTTTCTTTTCTAAATTTCGAGCTGTTCGGGAGGAAGGGAAATTTCGGAAAAAAAATCATTTCTCGGGTGCAAATCCTTGGCATACAATAAAGAATAATTGTTAATCAAAACGATATGAAAGGAAGATTAAAGAATATGAAAGCTTATCAATCAAAACGATATAAGAGGAAGATTAAAGAATATAAAGACTTATTTTAATAAGTTGGTTAAAAATTAATTTTTTTTATCACATTACTTCTTTATTTTTTTACATAATTTTTTTAAAAAAAATTAAAAAATAATTTTTAACTAATTTATCAAAACAATCCAAAATTGTATTAATCCAAAGTTATATTAACGGCAAGCAATAACAGGTGTCATAACAAGAACTTTGTAATGAATGAAATTTTACAAGAGGAAGATTAAAGAATATAAAGACTTATTTTAATAAGTTGGTTAAAAATTAATTTTTTAATTTTTTTTATCACATTATTTCTTTATTTTTTTACATATTTTTTTTAAAAAAATTAAAAATAATTTTTAACTAATTTATCAAAACAATCCAAAATTGTATTAATCCAAAGTTATATTAACGGCAAGCAATAACAGGTGTCATAACAAGAACTTTGTAATGAATGAAATTTTACGTACTCCAACCAACCATTTAGATTTTGAGTAAAAATAATACATATAACGACAATTGTTGATGAAAAACAATAGATATTTCATCTAATTTTTTTTACGGATTCTTAACTAAAATAATATTCCTGATACACTTGATATTTATTTCTAAATCTAGGAGTTGGAGATTCCTATGTGAAAATGGGTCGACTTACCCATGTTTTTTTTTTTTTTTACCATCTCCTTGTCAAGTTTCTTGCTTCGAGTTCTCTTTCTCAACTGAATCCAAATCCATGGAGTCTTTCCTACCACTCCTCATCCTCAAAAGTCCATACAATTTCCTAAACTCTCTCATGGTGTGAACACCTTCCCGACAAAATATGGATCCGGGCTCACCACATTCTTCCACAAACCGACCCGAGGTGCTCTCACCCAACCGTTGCCCGACCCTACCCATCCCCCGACTCCCGTCACCGTTGGTTTGCAATGCACTAATGACACATTTTAAAGCCCGACTCGGTGAGGTCCGATTCGATATCATGATCTCCCCAATCTCAGCCGGACTCAAACTCGACCCGGTTTGAAACACCTCTTCGATTTGAGAAAAAAGCTTGTGTTCTTTAAGCCCTAAATGACTATTAGCCAAAGTTTTAAAAGCCGAGAAATCGCATAGAGGGAAGTGTATGTGCACATCAATTCTTCCGGGTCTTAGCACCGTCGGATCAATCCGATCTTTACCGTTCATCGTGAATACCATGACTCGTTCTTCGCCGCAACACGAGATAATCCCATCCATGAAATTCAAAATCCCAGACAAACTCACAGCCGTTGATTTCTCAGCCAAGTACCGATCGAGATCTTCGATCACGATCATCGACTTGTTCGTCGTCTGCAACAAGAGCATCTTCAGATCTGAATCGTTGATAACTTTCGATAAATCGATATCGTAGACATCGTAGCAGAGGAACTTTGCCATTCCGGCGATGAAACTGGATTTTCCCGTACCGGAGGGACCGTAGAGGAGGTAACTCCGCTTCCAGACTCGGCCTAGTCGGTGATAGTACTGCTTCGATTTGAGGAACGATTCGAGATCCGATTTGATCTTGTTCTTGAGATCCGAATCCATCGCAACCGTCTCGATCGTCGATGGATGCGTGAACGGAATCGATCTCCACCGTCCGTTCCTCTCCGGTTCATCCCCAGCGTTTATGTACAGTTTCACCTCCTTCCTTCTCTGCTCAATCTCATCGAACATAGCGTGAACATGCTGCAAGTACGGACGAAGAATCTTCCTCTTGTCGCTCCTCCTGATCTTCAAAACCAAAGCTCTCGATCTCGAACCTCTCTCGCAACTCCAATACACTCTGGCGCTGAGAAATGTATCAACAACAATCTGATTCGGATCGATAAATAGATTGATTTCGTTCGATTTGTTACCTGAAAAAAGGTTCGCGAAATCGGAGTCTTCAATCGAAGATAGAGAATTCAAGTAAGCGAATACTCTTCTATAGAGTTGATTTTCCTGCATGAGTTCGTTGAATTGGGGAACTTTGTAGAACTGGTAAACATGAGACCTATCTTCGATCAATCGCCACCATTTTTTGAGAGTGTAGAGTATAGATGTTTTGTGTAGAAATCGGAGAAGTAGATAGGAGACAGTGATGATCAAACCCAATAGTAGAATTGGGTTTGAAGAAAGGAACATCTTTTTGGGGGGTTTGAAAAGAGGATTAGCTTTTTGATGGGTAGATAGAGATTGTTGATGATGATGATAGTGGTGGCGGAGGAAATCACGAGGGAAGTATAGAATTGAAGGATTGTGTTTTTAATTTAAAGGCATAAATCAATAAATAAAATATTATTTCGAGTTTGTCATGCGACTATTTTAAATGATTGTGGGCTTGAAAGTTTGAAGACGGCGAATTTTTAACCGGTCAAAAAAAGAGAGAGAAAGATTGTTATCATTATTAAGGGAATTAAAAATACATATACTAATATGAAAAATGATTTTTTCCCACAATTTCGTTCCCCCGAACAGTCCAAAAGAGAAGAGAAGAGAGAGAGAAAGAGAAGAGAGAGGGAAGAGAAGGCAGGTCGTCGCAGCCCTCCATCCGATTGTCGCAGCCCCGCCTCCGCCGTCTCCTTCTCGCAGCCTCCGCCTCTGTCTCCACCTCCACCCCTTCATTTGCCCCCTACATCTACCTCCGGCCCCCACCACCGCCCGCCGCCTCTGCCTCCGCCCCCGCAGTTGTCTTCTTCTTCCTCCTTCTTCTTCTTTCTTCTTTCTTCTTCTTCTTTTCTGATTCAAAAAGAAAAGAAAAAAAAATTCAAATGACGAAACGACGTCGTTTTTTGATTCGAGAGATTCGGGGGCAGCTCTTTTCAAGCTACGTAGCACAACTCGTTCCTTTGAACGGAGATTTATTAAGAAATTCCCTTCTAATTATTTATATCTCAATTAGTTGTAATTTAATAAATTCTATTATTTAGATATTTAGGTTTTGTTTACGAATATGTTATTTTAATAATTTTTTATTAAAAGATATGTATAAAAATGAAGAGAATAATGTGACAACTTGTAATAGCTTTTGACTAAAATTAAAAGTTACTAATTAGGCCTTAATCCACTAAATTTTAATTTTCATATTTAAAATATTTTATACTTAGCAACTTGGTGATGTGAATATTCATATTTAATAATGTGGGTATATACATTGATAGTATGAATGTTTACATTATGAAATATTCACACTATCAATATGAATATTATTATTAGGGCTGTTTTGATAATTATGTCACTCATAAAACTTATTAAAATATAAGAAAATAATTTGAATTAAGTGAAACATAAGTAAATGGAGAGGAATTATTGAATAAATGCCCCCTGTTTGGAATATAAATTACTCCCATAATTTTGAAAATTAAATTACACTCCATTAAATTTCTAATCACATAAAAGATGGGTCGTTTTATTAATATAAGTTATTAAGTTACTTAATAATTTCTAATACTATTATAAATAAATTTCAATTAGTAATTCTAATAATTTTATTATTACATGAGAGAATTGTTTGGAATTTTATTATTTCTATAAATTCTATTAGGGGTTTTTTAAGATATTCTAAATAAGTACACTTTTTGATTTTTTAGGAAATATAAGTTGGGTTTGAAGTGATGTGACAGAGAGCTGATGTGACTTAAATAAGATGATGTGACTTAAATAGGATAGTTACTTTTTGACTTTTTAACTTTTTTTAAAGATGTCAAACTTAACCTAAATAAAAAATTCTGACAGTAGGTATTTGTAATTTTTAAAATTATAATAAATAATCTATATTTTAAACAAATTTTAGGAAATATATTTATCATTTATCTCATTAATTTATTTTCAATAATAATATGAGTATTGATATATAAATAAAAAATTCATAAAATTTCACTTTAAAATAAAATATTCGTAAATTGAGTTTAGTTACAAAAAATAATATTGTTATATTTTTTTATACGAACGGAAATTTTCTTATAATATTATGGGTTGTTGATGGAGTGCAAAAATTATTCTAAACACGTTAATTTCTTTCACCTTATAAAAATAAAATAAAAAGAGAGAGTTTGTTTGGTATTCCTTAAATAAGTACACTTGTTCAGATGAATACACTTATTTAGGTCATATTATCTCTCTATTTTTCTACATATTTTTGATAAAAAAATAAAAAATACACTTATTTAGATCATTCCAAACAACCCTAAAAAAATACAATCTCATAAAAAAAACCAAAAGGATTCAATTATAATGATAAAATATAAAACATGACCTTTTCCACCTCATAAAAAAAAAATAATAATATGGACACTAGAAATAAAACCTATACGTAAGTAGAAATATTTAAACTACTGGCGTTGTAATGAGTTAATGGAGTTCTAGCCAATCAGGTTAGTTGAGATTAAGGAGTCGTTCGAGATGTCCTAAATAAGTACACTTTTTAAATTTTTAGACTAAAAAGTTAAGAGAAAAAGGATAGTTGTTTATGATAACTTTTTGACTTTTTACAAAAAAATGTGTATTAAAATATTGTATAAAATAAAAAAATTACCATTTTACCCCTATGCCCTATGCATAGTGACCGTGAATATTGAAGGAAGCAATTCGAAATGCTTTGAATTGTGTATGGAGCAGACATGCTTCAGATTTATATATAGGATGAGGCTTTCTTTTAGTCTTTCATTGGACTGGAGGGGCTTACAACGAGTCTCATTTCAATAATCCGAACCGTTTGATATGTAAAACTCGTCAAATACTATATTTCTGTAAAAAATTACGTTGATAAGATATAGATAACTATGTGATCAAATCAGTTTTGTATAAAAAAAATGGACGATTAAAAATAAATAGTTGAAAAAAATCTGATTTGATCATATAGCTATCGATATCCGATCAATGTGATTTTTAATAGACATACAGTAATCAACGAGTTGTACACATTGAACGGTTCTGATTATTAAAACGGGACTTGTAGTGGGCCCCCACGGGCCGAACATCAACGTTTTTTTGTAAATTTTTTTGTGCAACCGATTAGGTAATTTGCAAAATCTGGTTCAGACCCAAGCATCACGTCAATGACTTTTTTGGTTGTATTTTTTTGTGTAATTTTTTTTTTATATATTTTTGTTGGTGAATGGTGATAACTTTTTAAATTTTTTTAATAGCTTTTTGATTTTTTTTTATCTTTTCTAGGCTATGCGAACCAACCCTAAGTGTTATGAGAAAATAACAAGCCAAAACACAAAATCAAAAACAAAACAAACATACACACCCAAAAAATAAAAAATAAAGAATAGTAAAACGGTGGCATATTAAACTTGCAAAAGTCCCCAATTAGGGGTGTAAATTTGGCCTAGCCCGTTCCACCTGGACTCGAGCTCGAGTCGGCTCATGTCGGGCCGTGGGGGCTCCTGCCAAAAGTCGAGTTGGACTGGGCCGACTCATAGACCAAAAAATTATTCAGGTCTTGGGCAGGCTTCGGTCTAAGCTCAAGACTGGGCAGGCTTGAACATTCTTTTTATTTTCTTTTTATTTTGTCCACCAAAATTTTATTCTTTTCCACTAAAAATTACATTGGCCTTGGATGAGCTAAGCAGGCCAAGCTTTTGAGTGGGCCTTGAGCGGGTCGATGGGCTGGGCCATGGGTCGGGGCCACGAGCCTGGCCAGGCTTCAAAATGATGGTCCAAGCCCAGACATAGGATCCTAGGCTGGGCTCAGGCCTAACTAGGTTGGGTTCGGACCGTCCATAGGCTGCAGGCCATTTTCACACCCCTCTCGCCAACCCTCCAAACACATCCATTAACATACCTAAAATGTATTAAGTGAAGTACCAATAAATCTCAAAATCTAATATTGTAAATTGTTTAGTTTTTCCTTTTTTTCTTAGGAACCTAAAGGTCACATTAAAGTGAAAATTAAACAAAAGGATAGTTACTTACATATTTTGGTTTAATTAGGAATAAAAGTGAGTTTCTCCAAATAGAAAATTACACATTTTAGCAATCCGCACTATAGAGGTTTTGAATTTTCTCTCATTTTAGAACAAATCCCACATTACGAAAAAAAAAAAATGTAACACTCCAATATAACACTTTAATAACGTAATACTTCAATGTAATACATTAAAAAATTCATTGGTATACTTTTCCCGAACGAACAACGTAACACTCCAAAAAAACTGCTTAGTATACTTTTTTTTAAATGTAACACTCTAATATAATACATAAAAAAAACTCCGTATTTTACTTTTTTCAAATGTAACACTCCAATCAATGTAATCACAAACGTAACACTCCAATTGAACATACTCTAATGTAACACACAAAAATACTAAAAAATTTCTTAGTGAACTTTTTTCAAACGCAACACTCACATTTTAAAAGTTATTAAGGAATTCTTGTACTCGTTTTGAAATGGTGTGAAGAATCTCACATCCTTTTTTTGAAATGATACATTGGAGTGTTATGTTTGAAAAAAGTATACTAAGTAAATTTTTTGTGTGTTACATTGGAATGTTACACCAAGGAGTTTTTTTGATATTATATTAGAGTGTTACGTTTGGGAAAAGTACACTAAGAATTTTTTTTTGCAATGTTAGATTGGAGTATTACAGTTTGAAATTATACATTTGCCCAAAGCTTAAGGAGTTTTTGTACTCCTTTTGAAATATTTGAAGAATCCCACTTCATTTTGAAATGTTTGAAGAATCTCATATTTTAAATTATTTTTGTACTCCTTTTAAAATGTTTTCCAAATAAAAAAGATTTCCATATAAAAGTTCATCCAAAATTTGATTATCATTGATTGTGTATCTTACATTCCTAGAACAAAAGAAAAACAGAGAAGAAAACATAATAGAAATAATGCTGTAACTGTAAATTTAATTTTTAAATAACATATTAAATCTATCTTTCTAAAATCAATGGGACTAATTTGTCTATAAGAAAATATTTATGACTATATAGATCACCATTCCTTAAGATGGAATTTATAGGTAAATTTTTCGAAAGTATTTTATATTTCAATCTAATAAAGAAATTTATTTCCAATTTATGCAATAATTAGTGGTAAGTCATGCTATGCACGAGATGTAAAAAAATTAATAATATATTTTTATATAAAATAATATAAAAATAGTTAGATTTTTGTATGTAAATTATGCAAACAAAAAAAGATTAAAACTCATAATTTTACCACAATTTATATATCAATTTTTAATTTGTCACAAATTTAGTAATGTAACTTTTAACCCCTTACTAAAGTTACAAACTTGGGTGAGCTCAACCCAAGCAACTCAAGTTGAGCATGAAATTTGGGTAACACGGTTTTTAATTTGACGAGGACCTATACAAAAATTCAAAAATTAAAATTAAA